CTAATGACTAAAGATGTAAATCATGTTTTTGTGTGTTTATTTGCCATTGTATATCTTTTTTTAGCCAAAGATCTATTTAAATCTTTGCTGGTGTTTTTCATTGCATTGCTGGGTGTCTTACTAATAAGTCAGAGTTCAGCATCTATTCTAGTATATTCCTTTGTCACATATGCATATTGCAAATATTATGTACTTATCGCATGCCTATTTCTTACTAGTGTCAATAAAATGCAGCCCAATTTATTAATTTTTCTTTTAGGGCTAGTGCTTTTTGTGTTTAGTTTAAAAAAAAAATCTTGGTTCAGCCTAAAATCTTACCAGTTTTCTTTTAGATGTTTTCTAGTTTTACCTTTTATATTGAGATCTATGGATCATTTAGAGTTTTTTGGGCACAGGATGCGAGGCAGGGGCAGAACTGGAGGTGTGTTTCCATTCCATGTACTGACCAGTTATAGAAGCAAATGCTAAGAAGGCTGTCCTTGGGGAGCACAGGGATTTTAAAAGAACTCTGGGTGGGTCTAAGGAGTGGTGTTAATTGGTTAATTGGTCTCTGAGATGGTCCTCTCACAGCTCAGCCCCCTTCAGCTGACACCATCCTCCAGAATGGATAACTTATGCCTGGATGGGATCTTACAGATCATGTGGCCAACTATTGTTTCTCTTTCATTTTTATTAAAAGCTACATATGAATAGTGTTTAATCCATCCATAGGTTACAAACTTAGCTGGCTAAAACGTTCTTCTTCCAATCTCTTCTTCCTCAGGTCACCCTCCCCAAAAGGCAGCTACTTCCAACAAATATATAGCTGACTGAGAGTGGCCATTGTTGAGAACATCTCCCTCCTCCTTCATGCTTGAAACTTCTACCTACGAACACATTCCACATACAGTTTTCCATACAGCAGACATATTCACCACACTCATGAGCTCTTCACACATTTCACCATTCCACAGCCCACCTCCTATACACCACACACCTACTCACTCATATTTAGCTGGCTAACACTGCTAGATTCTCCAAGGGCTTCAACAACAACCAATGTCTTAAAAATAGCAGAACATCTGGAGAACAACCCATCTTGTTACTATGCAAAGGAATGTGAGTGAAAAATGTAACAGTTTAAATCTAGGATGATTTCTTCAAAAATGAAAAAAATGGAAAAGCCCATCCTGATGAAGGTGTTAGGAAAAGAGTACACTTAACGCTTGTGACAATCACGGATGGATGAATGGATGGATGGATGGATGGAACCTTTCGGATATACTCATCAATGTAGAAATATGGGCCAGAAGCTCAAAAGTGCTCATGATCTTTCACTTTGTAATCCTATGGAAATGTATCTTTGGAAAATTATCATATAAGCAAAAAAGCAATGTGCTTGAAGTTCCTACTCCCAGTTATCTATAATAAAAAATAAATGTAAAGAACCTAATAGGTTAGCAATAGGAGCATTAAGTTACATTTGCTTTATGTGTTAAAATGTATAGATACATCTGTGTGATGTATTAAAAGACAATTATGAAAACCATGTAACATCTCTCAAACATTCATGACATGCATGAAGAGAAAATAGTAATGCACATAATTTGGTCACTAGTTGAATTTGGACAGATAGAAGTAATGGGAATGCTGAACACTGATATGAGATATTCAAAAGAGGTATTTTGGAAAGACATAATTTTGGTCATTGTATTTTGATCGATATTTGCTCTTCCAATTCCATCCTTCCATTTTCTTTCAGACTCACTAAAGTTAGGCTTTTGCCTCCAATCCTTTTCCAAAATTGCCCTCCAAGGCAGGGTCACTGGCATCATCCTGGTCATCACTCAGCTTCTCTTTGTGTTTGATCCATCAGAATTATCTGACAACCGTCCCTTGACACAGTCTGCTGAGACACTGTAGCTTTTCTACTCACTCCTCAGACTCACAGCTGATTTTCCTCTTCTCCTCACCCTCTTACTGTCTGGGGACACTATGCCTCATTCCCGAGCTCTCTTCTCTGTCTTATTCCAGCTTCACTCCCTTGCATGCTACCTTTATGTCAACAACTCCCAAAAACCTATTCAAAGCCCAGTTCTCATTCCTGAACTCCAGATTCCCCTGTCAAACTGATCTGCAACAGCTTCTCCCAGTTGTGTAACAGGCACGCAAGATTTGACATGTACAGATACTCTTGTTCTTCCTCCCTAAGCCTTCTTCTGTAGTTTTCTCTGCCCAGCTGATGGCAGCGCCATCCCACCAGTTACTTGGGAGCAACAGGGTCAAACTTTTCTCTCTCTTTCTCGTCCCACATGTGCTCCATCAGGACGCCCTGTTGGGTGAATCAGCATCCTACATTCCACATTATGTCCATCCCTACTACCTGGTCTGGGACACTGTCTTCCAGTCCTCTGGACTCTCCCTATTTCTGTCCTTGTCCCACTAAGGCCTAGTCTCAGCACAATAGACACAATCACCTTTTTAAGATACAAAGTAGATCATGTTACTCATCTGCTAAAAACCTTCTGATGACTTCCCCTTCTCATGGAGCAAAAAGCCAGGGCCTTGGAGGCAGAACGCTATCACCTCCATTCCCTGCTGTTCTCTGTCCACATGTTCTCCCTGCCTCCCTACTCACCCTTTTACACAAACAGTAGTCCCCTCGCTTCAATCAAACTTACAATAGTCTTATCTCTTGCTCGCTCCTCTACTTGAAATGCTCTTAGCTCAAATCTGATGTTCTCAACCGTATCTTCTTCCTGAAGTGCACCTTAGTCCCAAACTCTGCTTTCACCTTTTTTTCCAACAATATTGATAATTTTCTAATCTGCTACATAACCTGCTCATTTACTCTGTATATTTTTTTTACTTCTGTCTAAATGAAAGCTCTGTGAGGATAAGGATCTCTGCCATTTTGCTATGTATCTAAATCTTTTGGAATAGTGCCAGTAGTCAATAAATACTTGTTGAATGAATGTTGGATGGTAGATTCAAGTTGTTGTTCCATTACACTGTGTCTGTAATTCTTAAGAGAATAACTTCAGTCAATGAATAATACACTCACAAGGTCGGTCTGGGTCCATGACCCCAAATGCTTAGGCCTCAGTGGTCATTTTCATACTGCCTTTGTCTCGCTGACTCTATCTACAGACTCTATCTCTATCTACTCTATCTACCTCCATCTACTGAGAGCACCTCCAAACCAAAATGAAACCAGTAATCTGACAGCTGGCAAAATGACCAGATGGAATTATTGTTGTGGTTCCCATTTACAACCCTTCCCATATGCCCCATTTCTGTCATCATTCCCTCAAGAATAAGCTCTCCCACTGCTTGCTACTCCTTCCTTCTAGCTTTCCAACAACTCCCAGAAGCACCTTAAAATCTCATTCTACTATCAGATTTTAATGAGGGGGATGCACTCAGCAATTAGAAACAGGAAAGGACTGATTAGGGTTCCTGTACCTCAGTGTTTAACCCAGCAAGCCATGCAGCCCTCCAAGCATTAACCTCATTCCCCATACACACTCAATTAGGCATATTTACTTCTCATTATCCAGTATGCAATGAGTGCTAATAAAAACCTCTGCTACCCCCAACAATGCAATTAATGCCATTAGCTGTCTCAAAGAAACTCTTCTTCTATACTTTGGTGCCAATAACAGTGTGCTCATTCATCCTCCGATCCACGCATTCCTGCACGTAGACCCTTCCCATTCAACAAAGTGCATACCTACTATGTGTCTTACAAGGCCCAGGACTAGGGAGATGAATTAGACACCTTCCTGCTCTAAAAGAACTTTCAGTAACAGTAAGCGGGCAACTACTGCGTGATGTGGGACACTACAGAGCTATGGCCACGTGCTACTGAAACTCAGAGGAGACAGCAGACAGAGAAGCAAAATTCGGCTTCCCTATGCTGTTCAAAGTCCAGCTCTGCCATGTTTTAGTGTTGAGTGTTGCATAGTCAATTACTACCTCTAAATCCATTTATAAGATGGCGATGATCATCTTAATTTAACATCCAAAAGGGCAGTTGGGGAGAGTAAGTGAGATGATGCCTGTCAAGTACCTTGCACAGAGTACGTGCTCAGTAGCTTCTAGGATTTGGGGCCCTATTCTCACCCTTCAGGCTTTGCCAGGCACATCCCATGTCATTCCATTCTCTGCTTGTCTGATAGGATACAGGGAATCCTACAATTTGGAAGAGTAGAGCATGGGACAGAAAATCCTCTTTCCTCTGTAAACCTGGACAAGTGGGGCAGCAAATTTCAGAGGAAAGGAACAGCATTGGCCAAGAAGAGCACAGAGGGTGAGGCCCAAGAACGTAAAGACTCCTCCCAGCCGATGGCTATATGAGCTGGATTCCGCTCCCTGCCAGCTGACATGCTTCTCCCTTCCTTTCCCAACATATTCCTCCACTATAGCCTCAGAGACTAAGATACTAGGAGTCTTCAACCTGGATCAGGACACCCACATCACAGGGACAAAAGAGAGGGAGGCTGACTGCTATAATGAGCTCGAGACACACATATTCCTATCAATCCTCTATGTGCATGTGCTCATGCTCCTGGGGACAGCCTGGGGCTCCAGCTGCTCCAAAATCGGCTAGGAATGACAGGAGGGACATATCTACTTTTCATGAAAAACATCTGCATGTGCAGAAATTGACATACGTCAAAAAAGAATGTCTGCATCTCTGCAAATACACACACGTGACTAGAAACTTCCTGGAATGACACACAAGAAATCATTAGCTATGCTTGCCTCGATAAAACCGGGGATGGGTTGCAAGAGTTGCAGTCTTAGATTCTATTTAAAGTCCTTCCAAACTGTGATTTTTTACAGCATACATTATCTATCTATATCGACACTGACATCTCTAGCTAACATTATGTAAAGTAAAACACAATCTGGCATCGAGAGCGTCTGCTGGTGGTTCTTCCAGACTTGGGGTGGGCGTGGAGGTAGAAGAAGGGGAGAGGAGACAGGGAATGGGGGAGGGAGGGTCAAGAACTTACTGGTGTTGTGGTCTATGAAGTAATCTCCAACCTGTGGGTCATACGCCTCTTCCCATCCTAGCGGCAACTCATCACTAATGCAGTCAGCAAAGGTGAGCGGTTTGGTGTACCTGGCAAGGGAGAGGAGAAACAGACTCCATCACCTGCGGTCCCCAAGCCCCTGATTCTCCAGTCCCCAAGCTCCTGCTTTTGTTGACTTCCCTGCTCCTCTCAGCTGGCCCCATGATTTGGAAGCTTTGGACAGTGAAACAAGCTCTGCTGTCTTTGTTGCCCGGGAAGGTGGACACATGGCTGAAGCAGCACGGCCAGATCACACACAGGGAGGCAGGGACTCTGCGATCCAGTCTCCACGTGCTCCTAACTTGGGAGGGATTCAAGAAAGTCACCTTCTTTCTCTGGGCCTCTGTTTCTGTATCTCCATAATTGAGGGATTTGCAGGAAAGGGTTCGATGGTCAAGCCCTTCTTCTGGATTTGTCCAGCCACTCTGGCTTCTTCACATTTAACTCACTGGCCCATCCCATCCCTAGTCGTCATCCTGGCTCTATCTCATGCTTGTCATGTCCGCTTCCCCTCTGGAAAGCTGAGTCTCTGCAGCATCTACAATAGCAGGTGTTCCATCCCCATGAGTTTGGCTGAAACAGTATTTATTTGCCTCCTGAGCCAGTTCCCAAATGCCTGTTGCCAGTTCCCAAATGCCTGTACCCATCCATCGCTGTCCTTCCCCAAGCAATCCAGGTCAAACTGATATATTTTTTTTTTTTAAGATTTATTTATTTATACAAGCACTGGGTACAGTCAGAAGCGCAGGAGGGTGAGAGAATTCACCAGAGCCAGAGTGGGGAGCAGAACAGGCAGAAGGACCGAAGTACACTGCTGAGGGGAGCAGCGGGCGGCAGGAGAGGTCTGCTCGCCATGTGGGACCCTCCTTTGGTGGCCAGGGAGCAGCCAGGAATCAAACCAGCGCTGCAGAGGCTGTGGGCAGCTTTGCAACCCAGCGCTCAACTGCTGCGCCACCGGGGAGGCCCCAAACTGATATTTTAGTAGTCACCACCCTTTAAGTCTCCACTCTGTAGGGGGGAGAAATGTGGTGATCCCCCAGTCTTTAGTGGCTAATTCAGAGAGACAAATCACCCAACTAAATGTATAATGGTTGTCCAGGCTGAAAATAACATAGAATATTTGTCAAGTATTTTGGTCAGAGTGCAGGGGCCAGGAATCGAGACAGAACGGTCAGCCTCAGTGGGCCCTCTGATGAGGCCTACAGTTTCTCCCTATTGCTGACCTGCCTAGTTATCTATTGTGATACTCTCTTCCTCTCTGCCCCCTACCTGCACTCCGTTCTGGAAACCCAGGAGGCAATTATTCTTTCTACAGGTTGGCAAGCCAAGGAACAATGGGACAGGAGGAAAGATGACTGGATGGTATCTAGGAGGCCCATCCAGGGCTGCCCTGTAAAACACAGGAAACTACCCCTTTTCTTCCCTTTTTAAACTTTAAATCAAATTTAAAAGAAAATATATGGGGGGGGGAACAAACATCAAATGAAACTCTCTGGTGGACAGAACTAAGTTTAGGTTCCACTGTATGTCCATTGTCTGGCAAGTTGTGAATAATACCTACTGACAAAATGAAAAGGTAGCCCCAACACTTCTGCTAGTAAGGAATTTACTGCTGTAGTGTGGGAGACAGTGAAGCCAGAGGAATATAAGGTATGCACCAGACTAAGCACTTTATCAAGGGGTTCAATAAACATCTCTTTTTCACTGTGTGAATTTGGCAACTTACTTAATCTCGCTGAGCCTCAGAATTTTTATCTGTAAAAGGGGATAAGAGTGCTGCAGGTTGTCAGTTAGGTTAAATAAGGTCATGTTTGTAAAAAAAATTTAGCACGGATCCTCATGTGCAGAAGTACTCATAGAGCATTAGTACTTATTGTCTCCAATTCCCAGAAGGGGAAACTGAGGCCAAGAAAAGGACATTCTAAAAGATGGCATTTCAAGAGAGGCAATCTGTATTCTTAGTCCCTGCTGTGAGCAAAGAGGTTCTCTTGAAAGTTGATGACTTCACCGCATTTCCTGAATTCCATGGAAAACCACAAGCCTTGGGGTAAATGGAATAAAACTGGGGAAGACACAGGTGATTTCTTTGGCTCAGAATGCTCTTCATTCAGAACCTCTGTGCCAGTGTGGGTAAAGTTTCTACAAAGCTGCCTTCATCCCACTCTACCTCCCACGAGCTGCTCAGACTTCAGAAGAAAAAGGCTGCAGCCCTCTGTGTTTCCCCCTCCTCAAACTTTCTAAATGGGCTGCTCCCACTTCCTTACAAAGATGAAAACCAGTGACTCAGAGCCAAAGTTCATCTAACATCATTTTATCCAACAAATCTGCAAAAGGATCACTGAAGAAACATATAGGTTTCTCCTGCTCTCCAAAAGTACAACATTCCTATTAGGGATGATTTGGTAGGTTATTTTTTTGAGCCTGAGAGTGCTAAAAAAAAAAAAAAATCCATATAAACAGCATCCCCGGACCTGAAAAATAACCTAACAAATCACCCCATACAGGAACAATCTACTTTCCGGTAGCAGGGGAAACCTGTACTCACACAGGGGAAATCAGTATATTTCTGAGGATAGACCAATCTGTTGTGGAACAGGGAGGCTATTTCCAACCACAGTCAGAACTCTCCTTCTAGTTCATTCCTCTCTCTGAACTCTTCTCTGAGAAGTCCCGCCTTCCTGCCAGTCTGACTGAGGTACTACGAATCTTACAATACACAGTTTGCAATCCAGAAAACCAAGGAGATAAGTCCCTCTCAACAACTTCCCCAAAACCTATGTACCGATCACCACCTTTCTAACTCTCTCCCTACCCAAATCTCTCCCAAACTAAATCATTTCATTAATGGTGCATCTAAGCAGAGGAATCCTATGCCCCCTATAATTGATGCTCAATAAATATTTGTGCAGTGGGTGAATATAATAATAAATATGTAGAAACCAAAAATAATGATGTAGTGTTGTATAATTTGCTAGCTAATGTTGAAGATGAGCTAAGAAATATACTGGTGAAAAAATACACTATGAAAAACATTGGTGAAAGAGAAAAGTGACAGGATACAGTCACAGTATGATATTTTGTCTATCTCTGTGAGTGGAAGAGCTACTGGGAAGATATGCATTAAAATGTTATCTGGATACAGGGATTATAACATTATTTTTCTTTTTACTAATTTCTTTTTAATGTTCAAATATCAGCTGTAATTAAAATATTTAATAATGGTTAAAACTAGGTCTAGATAACAACACACACACACACACACACATTCCTTCGCTGGGTAGCAGTTGCTCTTATTCCATTTCATATATAAGAAAACATTTCAATATCATGTAGTTAGTCACACCAGAAGTACAACCTGAAGCCCCAGCGCCTGACTCCAAAATCTGAACTTTGCTAATAAAAGTTAGTAAGATCAATCTGGAACACAGAGTAAGCAATGCTAGAGATATAGGTGATGAAGCTGGACTGGGGCTGGGGAACTTGGGGGAATCTGAGCAGGTAAGAGGCACTGGCGCATTAGCAGGCTTGTACCTTCAGGTCTCTATGGCTTGGCATAAAGATATTCAATGCTCTTGGATAACCCAGAGCTGCTTAATAAAAAGGCAACTAAATATTTCCAAGCCATCAAAGTCATCAACGCAAGCCATTCACTGAGCGCTCAGTCTGGGAAAGGAATGAAACACCAAAATATGCACCAGTTTTCCAGAAAAACATTAACTCCACAGATTGTTCCAGTCTTAAGATACTGGGAAACCAGAATGGAATAAATGTTAGCTACAAATATCAGTGATATGATTGACATGTGGCTAGCCCACTAGGCCTGGCATGCTGGCACCGGCAGTGAAAACAGACTGGGTGCCCCACATGGAAAAAGAGGAGGGAGTCAAGGGGATTCAAAGTTCAAAAGAGAGGGCAAGAGGGAGAAGAAAGGAAGACTCTGGGCTTGATATTCAGGGTGCAATTGGAGAGATGAACCTAAAAGGCTGATCTCCTGATGTCCAAAGCTATTTCATGGGAAAAAGAAACACTCCTATTGGAAAACTATGCAACTTACAAGAAATCTGGACAGCAAGATTCTCTCGAGAACAAATGCCAAGAAGGAGATGAATTATTCAGTGTGCAGAGATGTGTCATTCAGAGAATCAGGATGAAGAAAAAATGCTTTTAGCTGTTCAAAGATTTAAACACACACATACACACACGTGCACACACTCACTTTTCCTGCCAGAGAGAGGACTGTCTGTTTAAACCAGCCCCCGCCTCCCGGGAAACTGTGGGTGCTTCTCTGGCGTGTGATGTTTCCCCTTGGGCAAGTGCCAAGAATGTGAGCTGGGAAGAGATGTCCACTTTCAAATGTGGCCAGAACTTGGGGGCCTGCCTGGAACTCCCAGCCCCCACCTCTGAGGAAGCAATTCACCCCAATCCAGTCTGGTGCAGCCCCAGACGCCACATCCTGGCTGCTGCAAAATCCCAATCATGAAATCAAATGACCCACATGCTGGAGGTGTGAGAGGGAGGGAGGGAGGGATGCCAAGCAAGAACTAGTTCTGCCTCTTCTTAATTACAAATCTCTGAAGGAGCACACACATTCCTGAATGTTTCACAACAGCCCTCCTGGACAAAGTGGCCGGATGTGTCACTTTGGAGACAGGTAGGTTCTGCTGGATCACCCAACCTAGAGCACACAGGTCCAGAGCAGAGCCCTCGCCCTCCTGCCTGTACCATGGTGCTTTTTTAGGGGATACAGGATGGGCTACGGGACAGGCCCCGGGAGCACATTAGGTATTCAGACAGGCGCATCTTTTCTGAGGCAGCAGCTCACAGAAGTAGGGAGTCTTTTGCCAAGTCTAACACTGGGTGGTGATTCTCTGGGGACCGCAGAACGCCTAACATATCTTTCACGATCCCAGTGCTTCCCCAGCAATGCAAACCCTTCCCACAGTAACCTCTTTATGGCACCCTCCCTCTCCCCCCACCTCCCCTTTCACTGGGACTGGGCTCTCCCTGAGGGCCAGCTGGGCAGGGTCATTTTCTAAAGAGCTCTCCAGAC